CTTCCCAACCAACACAACACTCATTTATAGATATTAATTATAAATTGACTTAATTGAAAAGCGTTTCTTTCTATCCCTAGCGAGTTAAATGTTATTAGTAATCTGCATGATTCTGTACTTAACATAGTCATATTAAGGACATGGAAATGTTAAGATATATTTTTAAACATATGCCCCGTCGTCATCTGCGAAGCAGTTTGAAAGTTTATTGAACGCAGAATAACAAAGTGCAAATTAATTTTAGCAGTTAGCGGTGATAAAAAGATTAGCGACAAAATGTATTCGAGTGATCCGCTCAGAGTACTCCGACAAAAGTTAATTCCGTCTTCGAATTAATCGTGTTGTTTATAAAGCATTCCGTATGATCCCGCGCTTATTTTCTTGTACACATGTTGTCGGTGCACGACATAAATATTGCCGCGCGGCTGAATAATTTGTGCAGTTAATGGGGCGATTTAAAATTTCGAGAAAGAAGGCCAATTGGCTCGTATCCAGTGCAGTAAACACGCCCCCGGAAGTGGGTCCGACACCCGCGCGTTTCTCGTCGTGTCACTTGATGCACTTTATAGTGGTAGCTAATTAATGAAGTTCATCGCATATCACACAATATTAAGGAAGTCATCGTTATTTAAACGTATCAAAAAGTATTAATTAAAAAACTGGTACATTTTAATTAAGTAATTGCAATGTTGCAAGTGTTGCTATAATAACTCGCACACAAAGAAAAGTCTTTTATAATAATTGTTAACGTGTGTAAGTATTGAACGGTTCTTATCGCATTACACACATGACGTTTTCTTTAACCTCCACGTCCGATGAACTAGCGACTGCCTCTAAGCAGTTTTGACATGTTACAATGAAATTGAATTTGTATAAAATCGTGTATAACAGAGGTTTAGGCGGTTCCCATCGGCTGTTACAAATGCATGTTTTTGTGTGAGGGGCGAGGGCGGGGGCGGGGGAGAGATGTCTCGTTTTTCCCGAATTCCCCGCTCGTGAGGAGTCCGTAAGGTGACCTTCCGGGTGCGTTCGTTCACCGCGCGGTCACCTACAGACGCCCCCTTCGCGCCCCTCGCCACCCCGCATCGCCCAACCGCCTGATACATCGCTATTGTTATTCTATTTTACGAAAATATTTACACAATTCTTTTAAGTGACCTTATTTGTTTTATTTTATCAAATTGGATGACTTTAATCTTTTTATTAAAATTTTATTTGTTGATATAATAGATACGTTTTATTCGTACTCTAAAGTTCAAACACACTTCGAAAAAAAAGAATAAATTTTAATGTAATGATTAAACTCATAAGCTATTGGACCGACTTCAAAAAAAAATTGTCATTACAAAACTAAATAATGATTATAACTGAGTTACATAGGCTTTATGAATTAAATTGTTTATTTTACCAATTTAACAATTTTCGCTTCTGTAATTTTTTCTATTGATGATATTGTTTCCATCCAATGCACATAAATAAGGTAAATGCGGTAGCGGTATTAGAAAACAACAAGGATGATTAACATCGGATGTTGTAGTGCACGAGGGGAAATTCCGAATTAACGTATCACGTCAGGACCACGTAAAGGAACGAAAAACCAGACGAATGGTTTATTTAGAGTAAATTTATTACTGCAATGATCAAATTCAATTCCTAAAATACCTAAAATGTAACTTATAGCACACGACATGAATATACACATTAACAACGGGGCACACCTTTGACTAAACAATCGCACAACTGCTGTGCGATGGTCGATTGTTTCGCAGCCAATTCAACTGTGCGCGCTCTAAATCATTCTGTGGGTATGTAATAAGTGCTTACCCGGTGGCCTGGTGTGCGTGGCGACATGGTGCTGCAGCGAGGAGGCGAGCTGGTGGTGTGGGTAGAAGGGCAGGAAGGGCGCAGGGAAAGGCGCGGGTGGTGGCGGCTGCAGGCGCGCTTTCAGCTCCTCTGCCGACCCCGCACCTGACGACGATGATTCCACGTCCGATACACCGCTGTCCGCCGGAGATGGAGGTAGCGACCCTGATCAAATACAAAAACATATATTAAAAAAAATAATATGTAAAGGATGTAACTTAACTATGAAAAATCGCATCTGAAGTTAATGAGCAATTCAACTATTGAGCTTTTAAGTTCTACTTTGTTACGATCATTATTCTGCATTAATTTATAACCGCATATGTGAACTGTGTCATCCATAATACATAAAGTAATAAAAAAATCGATTTCTCAGTAAATTATTAATAGAAATGACCACCGATGTAAATAGGTCGCGCGATGGTAATTCTAACAAACAATGCCATTCCTAAAGCGCGCTACGCAGAAACGCAACCCGCATTGTATCATAGCTCGGAATTAAAAATAACGCCCCAATAAAAAAATAATTTTAATTGAAGGAGGTATCAATGTACAAAATTTATATTGTTTCTTTGTATAAATAAAACCAACCTTAAAGTATATAAAAAACTGTTGCATTGGTAAAGTGTACACGGTTACATAAATCTTCTGCCATTGTTATAAGTAACGGTCATCTGCAAGTTGCATAATAATTAGCATGCGTTCCCGAGATGCATTCCCGTGTTCCTGACCGCGGGTGCTGTGAGATCCGCCGTTAGATGAATCCTCTAGCCTCCATACACTTGCCCACAACCTGATCTTGTGGGAAACAAGCGGTCAGTGCAATTGTAATGCAAAAAGATGGCATGTTTTAAATTTACAATTATGCAGATTAATGTTTTGGGGTCGTTCAGCGCCGTGTACATTGTTGAGTTGCATTTTTTTGCATAATCAAAACATAGTTCAGCGTATTACTTGCTTCAACTTAATAATGAGATTAACTTGGTAAGGAATATTTTAAGAATCTAGGGGTAAATTTGTGTATATGCGTAATTTATACTGCTAGTTGAATATGTTTGAAGTGTACTAACGAACATTTAAAACTGCAAAAGCGGTTGTATTGTGTAATGTATGCTATAAGTAAGTTGGACAATGGACATTTAAAATAGAAGACGTCGTCAATCCTAGAGTTGTTATAATACGAGTTTGTTGCAGTGGTTGTTTATCGAAAGTTTTCTCATGTCCGGCGCGGGGCCCTTGTGATAAAAAACATTTGACGGGTAACGGTTGCGCGCATTCGATATTTAAATAATATAATGGGTTGTGGCGCTGACGACTATGAGGCAGGAAGAAAGCTGGTCATTCATACATTTCCTCGTCCATTGAGTCTATGACTGGTGGGGCCGGTGACCATTTGACCGGTGCGAGAGTAAACGCGCTGTCCACACCCCTTTGTGGCCATTGTCAACCCTTCAATGGGACAAAGGCTCTGGGAACCGGGAAGCGGCGCGGCCCTCGTGGGCCCTACGGTCAGTTTTGACCATTTAAATTGAGAATGAAATGGTGTAATTTTTTAACAATGGTCGCGGTATAATTACTATTTTAAAATGCACCCGGGTGTGCTTTTTGGAAGTCTTAAGATTGGAATATTCTTATAATGCTTGGTTAGTTTTCGGTTCATGCATTCTGTTATTATTTTAAACAATTTTTTTTTTATTACGACCGTTTTGAAATCTAAAAAAATGTACTTTTCTATCTTTTTAATACAATTATCTTTTTAAAGATACATTCGTAACGGAAGAAATCTTGTGATCTTAGGTCATATCAGTGTATTAGACGTTTTACTTTGGCTTCGTAAATAGTAACGACAAGTAGACATGCTTAGAAATTTCTTACATTAGAAGTATTCCAAGTGTGTAATTGACCTTGAGGTCAGTAAGGCAGTAACGTTACTTTCACACGACGACAGTACAGTGGCACAGAGCTTGTTGGCACTGAGAGTGTTCCTTTTCAGTAAAGTTATACTGTTTTAACAGAGTCTGCGTTCAAAAGTACTTTTGAACTGTCTACTGTTTTGCCTGACTGTGGCGTCCTCGTGTGAAAGGCATAAGTTAGTTGTCATATTGTAGGCAGTGTGGTGTATAGGTTCGCAGTCCGCAGGGCGTCTGAAGGGCGCGTCGTGTCGATTACGTCGGCAAGTGTTTTGCGGCGGCACTAAACTTCTGTTATAATTGTAATCATTTGTTTTATGACTCAAATTTTTCACACCTGTTTCGATGCGCTCCTGTTTGATATTGTTACAAACACGTGATGCGTATTGTTTAATCACAAAAGCATGTATTTGCTCTCATATTTATTGTTAACAGGTCTACGAATTAATCTAAATGGTAGACAAACCGTAAAAAACAATGAGTTAAGTGTAATATTGTTTTTACCTCGAAGAGCTATGTACCTAAATAAGTTATAGTTATTGTATCTGTATTGTTACGTACATTTGTTAAAAACCGTTATTAATTTCAATTACTTTGATACAAAGTCAAGGCTAGTAATATATTAAGTTGAATTTAAAGAAATATTAGCATATTAAAATTCCCAAGACGCTTGACCGTCGGCGCGCGGGTCCGGGGCTCAGGAACACGGAATTGGGTGGCCATTGTGCTAACCCTTTCATCTCACGTATCAAAATAATAATAAATTAAGTATAAATAATGATCGGGCGGCGGGCAAGGGGTTAGGTACCGGTCGGCGCGGAATGCGGTCCCATTAGGAAAGTGTCACAATGAAGTACAAAGCTCGGCCATCGGCCACCGGCCACTGTGCGCACCCTCCGCTATCGGCCCATCTTTATGGAGTGACCGCTGTCCATAGCCATTGTGCCAAAGCGGCGTTAGACCATAATCCATGCGAATGGAGACTCGCTTCCATTCTCTTATCTTTTTTGCATATGAATAATAATGCGGTGCGCGGAGTGGCCGTTACGACGGCGACGCGACCGCTTCATACCACGTGGATCATATTCGACTTAACTATCTCTGATTCTCTTATATCTCTCTCTTATATCTCTGCTATTACAAAGTTTATCACAATCATATAAAAGTGTTTCTGTGCCATTTTGTTTGATGAAGTATGTTATCAGCCGGCAACAATAAAATCAAGTCTGCGATTGAAGTTATGCTCTGAAGATCTTACACAATAATCGAATTATCGGCAATTCCTTAGTAAAAACTAGCATCCGAATCATGTAATTAATTTATCCCGAGTCTAGCAACAGTCTAGATAACAATTAAGTCTTTGTTTTGCGAAGAGGAAAGTGATCGAAATTTAATAATAGCGCGGCCCTCGTCAAATCAGATACAGTTTGCTACAAAAGCTCACGGCTTACGTATTTAGATGGCCCTTGAGAAGGCGCCCTTTGTTCGTCGGGGCCTTTAACATGGTAATTCTGCTTAGAGGGCCTCGTGTAATTTAGACGTGCCGCGGGTCACACCGTGGATATAACGGGTTGCCATTTTTGTGGAGTCGCGTCTTACGTCGGCCCTCAATGCCGACCGCTCAATGACTCTCGACAAATATTTGCTCGTCTCACAGCGTCTCCGTGTTGCCGTATCATTGTGATGAATAACGGCACTACATTTAAATGATTGTAATATTTCATGTGTTTAAAATGTATAAAAGTGCAAAACTCATTGCATTTTACAAGTTAAGAAATAGATTTATTTCTATAGATTGATATATCATTCTGGAAATTGATATAAAAAGTGTAACAGATTTAGTTAATCGTCGATTGCAAATTGTCGGCCGGATTGAATGCTACGGATCTACAATGGATTGCGTTTGCTCGGCCGCGCGTGACGTGACACCCAGTGACATGACAGCCGCCGGAAACCTGCGCACTACCCGCCAATAGGGCTGACACAATTTATTAAATTCACCTATGATATTTATAATAGAAAAAAGTGTTAACCATATGTCTAGACCATTTTAAACGTTTTCGGAATGCTTTATAAATTCGGAATTACCGAAATTAGACTGACACTTATTCGTTATATAAGTACATACATATATTGATATATATATTAATTTAGTCCAATTGTGATTAATAATTATTATTATACAATTTAGAAAATTTCATAAAATATAAGCGCAGTGACAACCCTAAGCGCGGAGCATGACACAGCAGAGATTAGCGCATTGTGCCGCGGCCGCAGCAAGGTGCAACGCAACCCATTTTTGCACAAAAACCCGAAAGGATTTGGGTGAAAATGTGCGTAACGCAACGTGCATAAACATCTGCCTGCGTATTGTTTGGTTAGGATTGCGTGTTTAGATGAGAGACGGACTTTGAGGAGCCGACGTGTTACGTCACGTCATTGATCACGCTGAAGCACATTGCACATTGTAAATCCCACGTATTAATTTATGCACATAATTACTCTAACGCTGCTTGGTCTGAACACGGTATGGTTTATGATCAATACAATAGTGGTTTTAGTCGTTTTTTTAAATATCTAAAGTAATATATACAGAGGAAAAATTGTATATTTCTATGTAATAAATCTTACGTTATCAGTGACATTTTACTTTTTTAATTTCGGGACGAATTCGCGGTCAACAGCTAGTATCTAAATAAAGAAGATAGTTGTTTTATTAGCCTTTTGATGCATTTAGATTGAGGGTTAATTTTTAGATGGAGGCTTATGTAACATTATTGCACAATATTAAGATAAATTTAACACATTAAGGCGAGGGGATTAACCGTCAAAGGCTAGAAAATAAATATTATTCGTTCGTAAACATCGGGGTGATTTATGGGTCTATCTATCAAACATTCAAGAAACGGACAAAGGGGTAAATTAGAACCCTTTTCGAATTATTATTAATATTTGTATAGGACAATGCGTTATGCAACTCACGGTCCACCCACGCCTGCATGAGGGTCCCTTAATTATGAAATTGCACATTTCGCGTCAAACCCAGGGATCTCAACATCTGGCTAGAAGGGGTCCGAAGTGCTTTTAAGTACTTTTCTATTATTAATTACAACTCATGCAATATGATATGTTCACGCATTTACCGTTTGCAATCCTAGAAAATGTTTGAGAATGTTTGCAAAAGTGTGATATCCGACGAGACAAGTTTATTTTCGTTTTCGTCGCCTGAAAATGTAATTAACATTTTTAAGGAAAATGTCTTCTCTTATTTAAATTATAAATAGTCTCAATATCCAATTAAGAAATCAATCAGTCCATTCAACGAGAGACAAAGCGCTTTTATTTTCGCATCATTGCTTAATATCACTTCCGAACGTTTACGCAATACGTGTTGTGTGTGTGGGTGTGTCGGTGTGCGTGAGGGTTGCGGCAAGAGTGTGCGTGAGGGGGTGCGGTGGGTGCAGGGGGCGCCGGGGGTGCCGGGGGCGGCGTGGCGGCGGTCGTGACATTGGGCGGATCAGCTGACGGCTATCGATTTCCGCGAGCTTCCTCTTTGCTCTTTATGAATATTTCATGCGGCAGCCGAAGTCGCGCGGTCTACTAGTCGCGTGACGTTATGATGAATAATGACGGGATATAAATAGATTCACTTAAAAGTAACTGAAAACAGTGCCTATACTTAGTTACATTGAAAACTTTTTCAAGTTATTTTTAAAAGTTTGATATCAAACTTTTTTAAACTTACATAAGTAATTATAACACCAATTAAGCCGACTCTGAGGTAAGAATCGTTCGAAGTTAATTCGTGCTTATTTCTGACTGTATTGATTTAACCATTATTTAACGAGAGTTGATAAGTAATTTTGGTAAAAGCCCTAACTATTTGGACCTAGAACCTGGGATAATTTAAGATAACAATAGGGTGCCTATCGGGCGACCAGTAGGGCTGGGGCGGCTGTCGCCGGTCACGATAAAAGCAATTTACTCCTTCATTGCTTTTGCTCTACCGATGTGCGAACATTCCCTCACAAATATTAAAATACATTTTTCGACAGTTATTAGCACAATAGTTTCATTGGATAGAAATTGCCATCGTTTATTGTATAAAATTATTATCAGTATAAATAATTTAAGTATTAATGTTCGTATTAAAATGCTTTAGCTATAAATTGAGGCCATTTATAAGAAGTTTCCGTCTCGTTAGTACAAATTATAAATGCTAAAAGTTCATAAAACGGTCGTTGATTTCTTAATAAATTGAAACGAATTAAACTTTTTCATGTGTCAAGTAATACATTAATTTACGTAAAACATTATTCAGCGAAGTAAAAAAAACAATAACACAAATGCGTGGTTTGGAACGGTTTATTGGCAATCAGCTTGTAAGTTGTCACTCTTTATCTTAAAAATGCAAATGGCGGCAATTGATGAGTTTTGGCGGGATTCGATGATTTTTGTAAATCGACCGGATTAAAGTTTTCAGTTCGCGGTCGGCTTTAGAGTTTGTTTTTAAAGTATAATTGTACAAAGAGATTGCAGTTCGGTTACGTATTTTAGTCGACAAAACAACAGTTTATAAAGATTTTATGATGTTGATGGATTGACCAGTCACATATTGCAGTGCAGAGTATAAGTCGTCATTAGTATGGACTCTCTAGTGATCTATTAATTATTGTTTGTGTATTAGAGTATAGAAGTTGACTGACCAGTGTTGGGCGCAGTGTAGAGGTGGTGATGCCTAGGCGCGGGCGCGGGCGCCAGCAGACCGTGCAGCAGTGCGCGACCCAGCGACCCGCGAGCACCCAGCGCCAGCGACCCCGGCTCGCCGTCCACTAACACACAAAACGACCCATTAATAAAAACATTACACACTACGTACAATACATTTAAATACTACAAATTTATTTAAATTGGCACATACAAACATTTTTTGCAATAATAATTTTTCTAGCTAACATTGATAATGAACTTAAGTTTAGTCCGATCCGACAGCAAAGTTTAGTCGAGTTGTGAAGTAGCGCGCGGTGCTTAGTTACCGACGTCAGATGGTACGACGAGTCTGACTTCAAAGGTATCCGAGGGCCACATCGCAACCTCTTGTATAACTTCAGCTACAGACTGACAGCGAGCCTGCGGGCAACGAGGTCGACGACACTGCTTGTCCCATTTGGACATTACATCGATGCTAACTTCTAGTAATAACACTGCGTTAGTTAGTTTTTGTATAAGTTCAGTTTAAATAAATCCAATAGATATTTAGGAGCGCATTTGAAAGTAAAACGGCGACGAGCGTGTAACAAGGGAATTACCGTAAGATCAATAATGTATAATCTTGATACATCCGAGCCAGACGCTTCCGTGCGCCGACCTTGGGCCGCGCTGCCTCCCCCTCCCCCGGGGGAGCCCACCAGCGCCACCTGTTGTCTCCCCCCACACTGCGCATGTTTGACGCAGGAACGGGACGGGAAACGCCCTCCCTCTCGTCTGCGAGGTCGAAATGTCTAGACGAATTGTGAACTCTTTACGGCGCGGCCACATGTGAGGGCGGCCGTCTGGCCCGCCAGCGCCCGGGCCCTGTGCTTTGCACATTCCCGGTGACAACGTGATGTGTCCCCTCACCTCCTAGCATTGCTGAGCTCACATGACCTCAGTTTGATATAGATTATGCCCTAAACTAAAAATTTGTTCTAATTACAATATATTCAGATAAGCAACTCTTTAGGTATGTAAACTTCCTGTTAATAAGTTTGTTCGCGACATATTCCTTGCAATAGAAAGGCTTGGCTTAGCGATGGGTGCGGGGAATATAAATTTAAACAAATCACTTTAATAAATGTAAGTGTTTCAGTTTAAGGAACTAATACAAAGTGGATTAGATCCTCTATCGAGCAGCTGCATGCGATCGCTGCGAGGATCTGAATTATTCAGGGGAAAGTCGGAAGGGGAGGGGAGCGACGGGGAGGTGTCGTCGCTCCGGCGCATGCTGCGGCCACGCTGCCAGCATCTCATTGTTTTTATTAGGTGACTGCGAGGGCATCGGACCCGTTTAGAAATGTGCTAGCTAATATGAATTCAGAGTGTTTTTCAGTGTGTCGACCAATTCATTCCGAAATATATTCAAAGTGTTCTTCATCAGTTTAATCGATTTCTGTTAACACATTTGTAGGTAGCTACGCTGTGTTTAAGATAAGTGATAATAATCAGTCAACGAGAATTGAATTAAATTTCTCGTTTTCGAATAACTTTGATTATTTTACGTAAATTGTTCCTAAACGTAAGCTTTTACCTGAAACACGAAAGTGTATCGAAAATTATTAGATCAAAAACGTAGCACAAAGAACCTTTTGTTCGAGGCGCGTATGTGTGAGTTATTTCGAATTTTCTCGCATGTAGAAGCTACAGTATACATGTAGTGGTGACTAGGACGTCGACTTAGACAATCAATAAGCACTAAATTCGGGTCGACTTCCTTTGAATCCTCACCGTAGCTCGCCAGGTAGACAAAGGCCGGCCCTGACGGGACCTTAACGACAACTTTACGTAATAATAGAGCGTTTTGTTGAGCCCGACATAAAAAAATAACATCAATAAAAATATCTTTTGATGTACATGATTAACTTTCCTTTGTCCCAGTATTTCATACTTGTACTAGTATATTTTTATTGTACTGGCAAAATATTAAATATGTATGATACAATACTTTGAGTTGTACGTTTTATGGCGCTACATTTTGTGATACATATTATACTTAATATTACGGCGGCATTTCCGAAGATTATAGTTTTTATAATCAAATTAATAAAGAGAACTTACACCTGACTTAACAACCTCTAAGTTCGTTCAAAGAAAGTAATAAAAACTAGCGCTATTTTTATTAGTCTTAAAGCTAATTAAAATAGTGATTTTTTACTGTAATGGTATTTGTACATATGTAACCTTAATATTGCATTAAAAGTTCCGAATTTTCAGTACCTTCAAGTAGAACTTTATTAAAGAGTAGAAAACACAATGTATTGTGCAGACGAGTTTATCGTACAAAGTGCACGTTAACCGCAGCACAGAGGGCGCTACTGTATTCATAAGGCGGACCTGAACTCCCGCGTTATTCAGCAAACTACTTTTACTTTCCTGCTTTTCTGAAATATTAACTAACTTGCATAAGCTTCGGGCGGGGGCGGACGAAATGATAGCTCGGGGGTTGGGGTGCAGGGTGGAGGTGGTAGGTGAATGCACGCTCACAACTTTTACTACCAATATCCTCGGTGCAGTATTATTTTAGCTAGAATGGCGTGCTGCTCGAGGGGCAACGCTCTGAGTTTTTTTATTTCTCCTTCGTATTACTAAACGTCTGACCCGATGGGGGCTAGATAACAATAACGAAATACTCTATGTTGTTTCACCGATTTGAAATATAAATATGATTAAACGAAAATTCTTTCCATGTTTAATTTGTACGAAACATGTATTAATTCAATACTGTGTCAATCCCTGGCCCCTAAACAGACTGACAGATTGCTAATCATCGAGGAAGTATTTTGTTGTTATTCAAGAATCCAAATGAATAATAACTAGTCTGTACTGTTTGTCCTGTTTGCATAAAACCTGTTTATTCCATATTTTTGCGAAGGAAGTCGATCTTCATTTGTTTTATTGAGAAAATTAACTCACTTTTAACTCTCAACACATCAAAGGAACCTTATCTCTGCTGTGACTTTAGCAAGCGATAATGATTTTAGTAATGTTTTATTTTAAACCGAGCACAAAGAGATGTCATCGAATGAGAGTAAATGTCTGCGACAGGATATAATTAAGCTCGGACGCAGGAAGTCGAGTTTTAAGATGTTACGATTCAAATCTCTTGATATTACAATTTGCAAAGCGAATATTTAATTATTAAGACGATCAGGTAATTGCATTAATAATAAAATCCCTTGGTTTGGCTTTTATGGTATAAACATTTAACAAAACTATTATACTATTAGTTAGAATGTTTCGTGTTTTGATGTAACAAGAACTAACAGCAACGGTATTGCGTAGTTTTTTGTGGTTTGAAGTTCGTTAACTCTAAATTCGTCAGCAATAGAACTTGATTTTAGAGGCTGTAGGTATGTCTATAGTAAAAAAGCAAATGAATGTCGATAGTTCTGTTCGGAGCGACACATAAGGCACGGCTAATGGAGGAAGTATCGAGCGACTCTAAGCCGATATACATATATTATTAATAAAAAGCGCGGGTCACGTCTGCTTGCGTCATCGCGATCAGATAGTTTTGTTTGATTCAAATATTAAGAGGCTCGCGAGTGAGCATAACTATTATTAGGTTGTCACTCCAAACATAATCCCATTAATTAAGCGGATACTATTGAACATTTTTAAAGGTATGAAAATATAAGATATAGAAAGTAATTTAGTAGAACGAGTTATATGGAATCGTGTGTAGGAAAAAGCCCAATCCTCGTGCGTTGAGCGCTTCCCGTGCGCCGCTCTTGAGGAAAACCGCAGCGTATTTCGTTATCTTATTGTTACAGCCAATAACAAAACAAGATTATTTATAGGTCTACATGATTAATCCTATGTTTATCCCATGTTTTCACTCGCCGCGCTCATTGTTAATTCATAATATGATATAAGGTAAGCTAAGAAAGTTATGGTTGCGTCGTCATTGGACAACTATCTGAATACCAGTCCTAATTTACAAACAATTTCAATATGAAGAGATTGTCGGAAGGAGAAATAAGACGCGGGAGACAATGTCGGTACATTCCGACATTGTTTTGTGACCGTCATAGGGCGATAGTTACATAAATTTGGATAAAACGAATTAGTGTCGTCGACGATGACGCGTGCCCTCTCGTCTCCGGACGTTTTAAGTATGACAATTTGTTCGTCTGACCGTATATCTTTTATTTTAGGATGCCTCGATTTTCACTTTTCTGGCATTTTCTCAATCGCGAAAATAACATCGGTCCAAATGATATAAAAGTGTTTTATCGGTTTTTAAGCGGTTACAGCGCATTCCGCTCGCCGAAGGCAGGAAGATACCGCGACGCCATTTTCGTCGGACCGGTTCGCGCTCGGACAAATTAAAAGGACATCGACTGTCGATTGAATCGATACTCTGCAATGATGGAATTAAGTATTATTTCACAATGATACGTCCTAAGCGTCGGTTTCGGGAAATCGAGCGGAGATTTGTGACGTCAGAACACATCCGGGAAGCGATAGCTATTTCAAAACGCACGACCGCGGAGCGAGATCCCTTCTGCCGAGGAAATCGTTCGGTGCAAAGGTTCTGTTTATAATAGTTCATCCAGCGTTCATCATGTTGTTATTGCTGCATTAAAAGACTATTTATTAGTGAATTGAATAGAAATGAATTAATTTGTTTTTGGCCTTAAGAATAGTTATATTAGCAATACAAATTATGAATCATGTTTTTATTTGTGATGCCGCAAAAAATCTGCAATAACTACACGTACAACTAATGTGTTATTAATTTGAAATACATCGATGAGATTGAATTGGGAAGGCAAAATAACAGACTGTTTTGCGATAGGACCTTGGTGTCCCTATTAGGCGGCCGGTCACGCACCACGCGCGGCGCCTGCGCAACATACCAAATTGTTTGCTATCATAGACATTAATTTTAACAGCTTTTCCACGAAAACCCATAGTTATACATGGAATAAGTAACCTCTAGGGTTACAATTTGCTAAATAAAGTTTGTCATCATTGAACAGAGCGATCCGTAAATGTCACATACAATATTATTTTAATTATATAAAACAAGTTGACAAATGTCTGTAACTACAATTTAGAGTCCGCCACAACA